ATTGGGCTAAAACAATGGAGCTTGGCTGCAACTTGGCTGGAGGTGTAAGGACGGTGTAACCACGATATTCTACTTTAAATGGGTACCAAATATGCTAGCTCAAAAGGTGGGAGGGCATGAGTAATTTGTAAAGTACCATGCCCTCCAAATGCCCTCAAAGTCGGAAGAAACACACACATCCTAACGCAGGGTACAAATATCGCGTCGGTGTGTGTCAGCGCGTACATCCGAGCTAAGCAAGCGGTGGATCGTGAAGCTTGCGCAAGGGGAGAGTGCCGGTCTGGCCAATCCACCATTGATCCACCAGGGCGCACTCGCAAAATAGCTCTCGCCGTTGTTTTGCCGACCTCTTGTTATACCCCGAAGCTTTGACTATGAACTCGGAAGAAGTATCGTTATTCTACCGAATTAGAGGTAGCTACATACTTTATAATAATAAAATCTCTTGTTTCTCGTATGTACTTCAAGCCCGAATGCTGTGTTTGACCTCTCGGCCCAAGCTTTCCGTTATCCCACGAAAACTCTTGACCCAGGTCAGTCAAGGATCTTGACTTGACCCACCTTTTTTGACTGACCCCTTGACTGACCCGGTCAGACCCGGGTCAATGACAACACTGCTTGCGGCTATCGCATCTTCGTTGCGTATCTTGAGCATCCACTCGGCGAATGGCCAGGACATAATGTCTATCGCAGAACTCATTCCATTTCCGCTGCCTCTTCTATGAGGCCTATTTCTTCGCTCTCGATCTGGCTGCCCCGCTGGAATGGGCCCAACCACTCGCATTTTCCCTGACTCCCGCCGTACCCGTTCCCTCGCTCCGCAATTCAAAAATTTGCGATTTCCATCATTGACACAGGCCCATATAGCTGGATTTTCATGGCCGCAGCCCCCGTACATTGTAATGAACAATATCTCGCCTCAGCTGAAGCACTTGCGCCTGCAGCGAAATCACCGGAAGTACGGGCTTCATATCATCTACTGTACTAATCCAATCAATTCGTCGCACCCTGTGACCTGTGACCGACGCGACGAAATTTTGGTTTCGTCGCATCACTGGGGAAGGTGTGACTGCCTGAAATTTTCGTCGAAATGTCGGAGTGGCCCTCTGTCTATAGATAATTTAGGACAGTTCAGAAAACTTTGCTAGAGAGAGGCAGAGGGAAAAAAAATTGGTTTCTAACAAAAAAGGACCCCAATTTTGCTCCTTTTCCGACTGATTTGGTGGTTTCGTCGGTGGCCCCTGTGACCTGTGACCCCTTAGAATTTC